ACTGATTTATCACTTTCACGGGTTTATTACGAATCAACTTAACGGCCTGCTCCCAGTTGGCTTGTTAGCTCAATTGGTAGAGCGCTGCACTAGTATCGCAGAGGTCAGTGGTTCGAATCCCGTACAGGCCTGATTTTTTTTTCAGGTCTGATTTTCGCTATTGCTTAAATAGCGCTATCTACTGCGAGGATCGTGCATCATACGTATCTAATACCGCAGTTCAAAATATATGAACTTCATATATTTCATTGTATCTGATTTATCACTTTCACGGGTTTATTACGAATCAACTTAACGGCCTGCTCCCAGTTGGCTTGTTAGCTCAATTGGTAGAGCGCTGCACTAGTATCGCAGAGGTCAGTGGTTCGAATCCCGTACAGGCCTGATTTTTTTTTCAGGTCTGATTTTCGCTATTGCTTAAATAGCGCTATCTACTGCGAGGATCGTGCATCATACGTATCTAATACCGCAGTTCAAAATATATGAACTTCATATATTTCATTGTATCTGATTTATCACTTTCACGGGTTTATTACGAATCAACTTAACGGCCTGCTCCCAGTTGGCTTGTTAGCTCAATTGGTAGAGCGCTGCACTAGTATCGCAGAGGTCAGTGGTTCGAATCCCGTACAGGCCTGATTTTTTTTTCAGGTCTGATTTTCGCTATTGCTTAAATAGCGCTATCTACTGCGAGGATCGTGCATCATACGTATCTAATACCGCAGTTCAAAATATATGAACTTCATATATTTCATTGTATCTGATTTATCACTTTCACGGGTTTATTACGAATCAACTTAACGGCCTGCTCCCAGTTGGCTTGTTAGCTCAATTGGTAGAGCGCTGCACTAGTATCGCAGAGGTCAGTGGTTCGAATCCCGTACAGGCCTGATTTTTTTTTCAGGTCTGATTTTCGCTATTGCTTAAATAGCGCTATCTACTGCGAGGATCGTGCATCATACGTATCTAATACCGCAGTTCAAAATATATGAACTTCATATATTTCATTGTATCTGATTTATCACTTTCACGGGTTTATTACGAATCAACTTAACGGCCTGCTCCCAGTTGGCTTGTTAGCTCAATTGGTAGAGCGCTGCACTAGTATCGCAGAGGTCAGTGGTTCGAATCCCGTACAGGCCTGATTTTTTTTTCAGGTCTGATTTTCGCTATTGCTTAAATAGCGCTATCAACTGCGAGGATCGTGCATCATACGTATCTAATACCGCAGTTCAAAATATATGAACTTCATATATTTCATTGCATCAGAAACAAATGTGTTGATTTCCCATGAAAGGTTTTACAGGAAACTTTTTCACTCAAGCGGCTGGGGAATATTTATCACATTGTACACCAAATACGAGATGGTTATTAAATAAACAACTGAAAATAAGGCCACTTAGAAAAAGCTTTTTTGTTGTTTGTTTTGCAGGCAGGGAAGGTGGAGATTTATGACATATCATCTGGTCAGTTATTGGAGTCTGTAGATGCTCATGATGGTCCAGTGTGGGGCATATCTTTATCTCCTGACAAGGTTTGTAAGCAAGTAATCAGCCAGCACAGCTATAAGCAGAGATCCCAAATTACCAAATGTGTGCTATCAGCCTAACCAATATGAAAATTACAACGAAAACATGTAGAGGTGTTGCTTATTACTATTAATAATTATTTCTGTTTTTGTTCAGCGTGGGTTTGCATCTGGTAGTGGAGATTCTACTGTAAAGTTTTGGGAATTTGAACTTGTATCAGATGCTGAGCACTCTCAAGTCAGGTGAGGAAAACAAACAAAGAATATTGTTACCTTTTTCCTTTTTACATTTACAAGTTTTGGATACACATGGAAAGAATTGAAATTTGACGATTTTTAAATTTGTGTTAAAAACGATGTAGCCTCGTATATTAAGAGACCCAATCAAATTTAGCCAACACTTTTTTTTATTAGATTGACTATAAATGGAGAAAACGTATTTGGTTGTTGGGTATTTTCTTTTGTTGGATCAACAGTAAGAGATTGAGCGTCACTCATCTGCAAACCTTGAAAATGAAGGAAGAGGTGTTATGTGTCAAATACAGGTATGTCCATATTACATTAGGATGTCGGAGTTTGTTTGTTTGCTTGTCTTTATTTTTCACTGACAGCTTACTGACCACACATAAGGGGTTCGTTTTCGTAAGAGGCTAGAACTTGATCCCAAATTCATTTTTGTATGGCGATAAAACAATTTTGTTTTAATCACCAGCGGGAACAGTTTGGTTACCAAAAGATCCAAATCGTGAAATTTTCGCCTGGGCGAAGGTTGAAAGCGCGTTGTGTTCATAACCTGTCTTTGCTTAAAACGTAGTTCATAGTTCATGATTTGCAAGAAATAGAGGTATAGTACTCTTTTAGTTCATGAATAACAATGTTGTGTGGGAAGATGTGGCAACGCTCACACGAAAAGTAGGTCAACTAGGAGAAGCGATGTTATTCATTTTAATTAGTCCTTCCTCTTTTTAGTCAATGCGTGAAATCTGAAGCATCGAGGAGAAAACGAGAAAGTCCTTAAACCAGTAATGCAGTGCTTCTAGTTTTCAAGACAATATTGTGCAAACAATTAACAACGTTTCTTATTCTTCTTATTAGTCCTAATCAAAGATTGCTGGCTGTGAGTCTTCTTGATTGTACAGTCAAAGTATTTTTTGCTGATACGTTAAAGGTTTGTTGTGTTTTGAATTATCTGTAAACTTACTGCACATGTACTTTATGGACAGGCGACAAAATCAAGTAATGTCAACCATTTCACGCGAAAAAAATCAATTTTTATCTCGAGAAGAAGTTAAGGATGACGGAGACAGACCATATTTTATTTCATGTTTCGAATTATAAACTCTTACTGACACTAGATCTGTTTCTATTAATTTTAAAAAAAGAACCAGGTAATTGGGGTAAAGAATTTTTTGGGGGATGAACAAAAATATTGTTTTAATTAAAGCATATAGTTTTGATCACATTTGTAGAAAATTACATCTGATTTTTTCCTCTACAGTTCTTTTTGTCTTTGTATGGACACAAACTCCCAGTTATGGCTTTGGACATTTCATCAGTAAGTATCGATTTTCTCGCTCCTCTAATGAATGTAAAAGGGTTTTTCAACTGAGTGCCGAAAGTAATCTGGGATGTTATTGGTTTTAATTTCCTATAAATTGTCTCCAAAATGCGTGCTGCCTTTGTTAGTGCTCACAATCCACGCTCTTACCCTTGAAGTTGATCAAAATTAAAACCAACCGTGACCTGGCCGCGTGCGTCAGTAAAGTAAAGTACTTAACTATTTTAATTGAGTGAAGAGTAAGTATTTTTTTTTTTACCTGTTTCTTCGTCTTAACAGGATAGCAACTTGATCATCACAGGATCCGCTGATAAGAATATTAAGATTTGGGGGTTGGATTATGGAGACTGCCACAAGTCCATATTTGGACATGATGACAGGTTTGTGTGTTAGTTTGTTGTTGACTACACCGTATCGCGATCGAGTGCCGTAAATCAAAATTAAAGTAATTACAACGGCCAATCAGAATACAGAAAATTATAACCAGAAAACTATGCGAACTAGAGTAAAAACGACCAATCTGACTAAAGCGCGGGAAAATACGTGTAACGTTGTCGCGATTGATTTAAGTTCAGAATCTGATTGGTTGAAAAAGTGGCGCAAGTCGTTTTGACCAATCACAGAGTGGTGTAAAGCAAAACCTTAGCAATCCTGGATCACTTTTGACACTTAATTGAAAGTTGCTCTGTATGTGACCTTTATTTCTTTTCATCCCGAGTCTTATCTGACACGTGTTGACCTTTTGGGTAGCTAATTGAACTCTGGATCAAATGGTGCGGGTGTCTTGTAGTCGTGTTCTTGGGCAAGATGGGCTGCTTTCACAGTGCCTTTCGACACCCAGAAGTGTAAATAAGTTTTAGCGAGACGTGAGACTTAAAGAATTGCTGGAAGGTAAGGTAACTAGCGATGGACTCGCATTTGTTCCAGTTGGACTGGTTCTTTGTCTCTCAGTGTTCAGGCAGAAACCCTTCGGTAATGAGCTCCGCCATTGTAAGCTACTAAGCCCATGTATAAGGTAAAGTCTGTTTACGAGCCTAGTGGCCCATTAGGCCGGTGCTTAACTCCGGTTTCTGTAGCATGAAGCGACTAGGAGTATTTCTACCTCCCCCCTGGATGGGATGCCAGTCCATCGCAGGGTTACCCCCAGCATTAAATTGCCGGTACCCATTTATACACCTGGGTGAAGAGAGGCATTGTGAGAGTAAAGTGTCTTGCCTAAGAACACAACACAAAGTCCCGGCCGGGTCATTGTGTTGTGTTGGCCCTTGTATGGACCGTTTTGTTCCTCTTTTCAATTTGTTTACAAGTTTTTACAGAAGTTACACCAACCTTTCAGAAGTCTTACCCTTCGTAATTTAGGTTTAGTCCATTCTTTTAACTAACTAAATTTGTTTTTATTTATTTATTTATTTTTGGTTTTCTTTCAGTATCATGGGATTACAGGTAGGTTGACAGTCTCTTCTTTAATTCCAGCAGTTTGCAAAGCGATAGCAACTATACATCAAACCTCAGTTTAGTTAACCTGAGTGTCAAGTGCTTAAGTCTTGACTAAACGCGCACTCGAATTCTGGAAATGAAGAGCTAGCAGCTGGTGCTCTATTGTCACCATTACCTTTTGCGAAGGTTAGATTTCAGTTTGTACAGTATTGCAATGTAACGAGGGTCTAATTTTAAAGAAGTTGTTGTGCTACGTTGACAGGCAACTTTATGATCATTTTCTAGCTTTTAGTCAATTTAATATGTAACTTGCAATGAGGAAAATCCAATCAGCTGATTTACGATGCTTGGTTTTTTTTATTTTTTCACAGTTTGTCCCCAAGACTCATTATTTTTTCTCAGTTAGTAAGGACAAGACTTTGAAATACTGGGACGCTGATAAGTTTGAACACATAACAACTCTTCAGGTACTGTCACTGTTTTCTAGAGATCCTTAGCTCCTTGATTGGTTTAGAAAACTCGTGCCATCCTCCTAACCAATCACTACTTTGTTAATGTCGTTAATTCCCGCGCTTTTGGTAGTTTCTTGTTGTTACTTCTAGTTCCTTTTAGCGGAAATTCGCCGATGTGACGTCCTGGCTGAATAGTTGACACTTTTTCTCTGTTACGTTAGTATTACTGACGGTGCAGGCGTGCTATGTGGGTCGCTTATACTGCAATTGGATGGTTTGGCAACAGCTGAAACGTGTATACCTGAGAAGCTGGTGTTCTGAGAAGTGTGTTTATTTTTCCCTAGGGCCATCATGCGGAAGTCTGGTGCGTGGCTGTTAGTCCAGACGGAGATTACGTGGTGAGTTACGATAAACACAGGGTTATGATCCTAACGTTTATTCTACAATAGTACCCCTCCACTTTGATCTATTTATGGATCATTGTCAGTTTAAATATTAATCCGGCGTAGTGTTTACCTACCTAGAAGGTAGTGAATAATAAAGGCTAAAAGACAGTACGGAAACGTAAGATAGTTTTCTTTTAAAATTTCTTTGTCCTTCAGGCGACGGGTTCTCACGACAGATCTCTTCGGCTGTGGGAGAGAACAGATGAACCACTGTTTATTGAAGAAGAACGAGAACAGGTTTGGTATCATTGTTGATATCTCGCAGCTTTGTTTATTAAGCAGCTGGTTACATAGATTTACACTTATATACATTTTCAATTTATTTTTCAGGAGAGAGAGAAAGAATACGAAGAAAGTCTTGTGCAGAATACAGAGAGAGTGGTACGTTTTTCAAAGTTGCTACTCCTCAAAGGAAACTTAAGGAAAAAAAGGGAGAAGCGCGAGAAACCATCGGGAAAAAAAAAGGAACGAGACTTAAAAAGAGTCTCTATTTTATGGCCTTACTCTCTTCCCTTGCACATTCCTTGTTTTTCGGCAGAGAGATAGCAAGCTTTTCAAGTTGTGTCTGCGACGCGAAAACCCACTCCTCCCTGCCTCTCCGCTTAGACTTTGAATTTCACTGGTACGAAATTCCATGGTCGGTAGTTTGAATTCGTCGACGTCTTATCTGCAGACTTATGCTGTAATGTAAAAATCGTCTGTATTTTCCACAATATTCGCTTTGATTTCATCAGGCTTTTTTCCCCTCAGATTCCCGGGGAGGTAGACGGAGAAGCCGTCAAGGCTGGAAAGAAGACAATAGAGACTGTGAAGGCGGTGAGTTATTCTGTTCTAAGGTTATCACTTCATTGGAGACAGTTCTGTTAAAAATCTTTATTTTTTTTAAAGAAACCAATTACAAGGAAACGAATTCATAGACGGGATGAAATCTGAACACAATACTGGAAAAATTACGCAGGGATCTATCTAAGTCATTTTTTTTTAATAAAGAAAATAAGATGTGAAAGTGAAAATTCGCTACAATGGCGAAGTGTAGCTGTTAGCTGATTAAGCTCTTTACCGTAAAAAGTGACTAGTATCTAGATTCTCCTGACTTTTTAACCCCTGAATCACACTCGAGGGGCACGAGAATTAAGAAAGTGATCTCCAAGTTATGAAATTCTTGATTATGAAACAAATTCATGTTCTTTTCTTGTAGCAAAATCATCTTTCGGTCTTAAGTGCGTTGTAGACCAGGAACAAAACATATAAAAGTTTATTTTTTGCTCGCAGGCGGAAAGATTAATGGAGGCTATTGATCTGTATAATGAAGAAACGGCTAAAATGAAAGAACAAGGTGGTGGTCGTGACCAGGTAAACATTTCCTCTTTATTTGTTTTTTGCCGCGCGACTCTTCGTGAAAAAGGAAAGCAGCAGTAACGTACGAACTTTTATTGATATCCCTACTTTTTCTAGTATCTGATTTTTTATCATAATCCATGCATTTTTTTACTAAAGATAATTATTTTTTAGGATTTAGTTCCTACATTGTTAGTTAACCATAGTAAAGGAGTAAGAATGATCCTTTTTCTTTTCGCAGGTGTCTACCAATCCAATTCTAATTGCGCATGGGAATATTACGGTAAGGAACTCCATTATAAGTGCTTTAAACCTTAGATGTAAATAACTAAGTGCCGCTGCTTTGCCTGCCTATACATTGAAAATACTTGGGTGCTGACCATATCTATGCAAACTGAGAGGTTGCAATGAGACACGTGTGATCGTGTGTTAGCGATTTGGCCCAAGGGACTGTAGGAAGAAGAAAGAAATATCGCGAATTCCCTTTCTTCCTTCCTTTTCTAGAGGAGTTACACCTGGGTCTGAGGCAAGGCTTATGGAATAACGGCTTAGTAGCGATTATTTTTCAAAGTAGCACCCGTTTAGTACATCGTGCAGAAAGGTCGCCAGTTTTCCTACTGGCCCTTCTTGAAGCCTTAATTATTCTTCATTTTTCTTCAGCCTGCTCGTTACGTTCTGGAAGTCGTGAAGAAGATCCGTTCAAGGTGTGTAACTATTTGTAAACCAAGCCTTGGAAATAAATAATATAAACTCCTAGTTCGATCTCGCAGCCAAAATGTTCTTGTTTCTAAATCGGCATAAAACTAAACGTTTTATTGATCATTCGACACCATTGTTTGTACGAAGTCTGTTAATTGATACAATTCTATGTTTCAGAGTGCATTGATTGATTGAAAACTCAATTGAATAGGAACAGAAAGCTCAAAAGACTTTTGGAAACAGTTGGTTCGAAACTTTGGTCTAATAACATCGATTACAAATTGTATCTCCTGTTTGTTGATTTGTAACTGTTTGCTGGTTTGCAGTGAATTAGAAGAGTCTCTGATAGTCCTGCCGTTCAGTGTCGCTACTGATATGTTGACTTTGCTGAACCATTGGCTCCAGGTAAACAGAGTAAGAGTAGTTGCAGTGGTTACGGTTAATTGCTTAGCAGCACAACTAAGCGAGACCGGTTTTGGGAAAGATCAGTGTAATTGGCGATCACCTGACCCCGAACAATGTGCCTAACGGTATTTATAGTTTCCGTAAAATTGAGAAGGAGGGATCCATGGTGCTGTTTCTAGCTTTTCATTCATTGTGCATTTCTATCAGCATTGAGAAACTTTCAAATGAGAATTTTTGTTCTCTTTCAAATCCAGCGCGGCTGGGAGGTTGAACTTTCATGTAGATGCCTCTCGTTTCTTTTAAGGTAAGTTCGTGTTCTGTCTTTCTTGTAGAGTAAAGCACCAGAATCTCAGCCATGGCGAAAGGTTGCAGGTAGCCTATTGAACGTACTGTAAATTGGATTCGGAGATTTCGCAAAGTTAATACTTTCTTTGTCTTGTAGAGCAAAGCGCTAGAAATTCAGTCATGGCGAAAGGTTGCTATTAGCCCATTTAATGTACATGTAATGTAAGTTGGATTAAGGAGATTCCGCAACCGCCGTGTGGCCTTTAGTCCACTGTTCACTGTATTTTCCTATTTACAATGATGCTTAAGTGATAACGAAGGATTCCTTTCTCAGGATTCACCATAGCCAGATCGTAGCAAACAAGGTTCTTGTGCCAGTGATTGATTCCCTTCGGCAGCATGCTAAGTCACGTGTGCATGGTCTGAGGGTAAGTTTTGTAAAGGGATTGCACCCTGAATTCTCCATACATTACGCGTGGCTAATTATTACTTAAATTTCAATATGCAGAGCTTCATTCAAGTTTTTGATAATACACGGTTGCTCTGAACTGATTGTGCATATTTTCTCAGAACCTTGAAGAAAGGCTAGTCTTGATACGGTGATTTTCAATTCAGTGAAGAATAACAAGGCTCACCGCGCTGGTTTTGAGTAATCAGCACACAAAACTAAAATTAAGGGTGATGCTATGGTAACCTTTAGTGGGAAATATGGTCACAAAATTTTGTGTTTTTTTGAACTTTTTTCTTATGTTTTACTCGCATCAGAGTGTTTTTCTGAATGGGGCCCAGTCCCCGCCGACGTACCCCAGGGTACCAAGCTAGTCCCGTGGTTGTTCGTCCTAATGATTAACGACCTTGATACGAACGCACAGCAATGGAAATATGTGGACGACACCACGGTGTCTGAGGCAGTAGTTAAGGGCGGAGAAAGTCACGCGCAAGCAATAGCTAACAGAGTAATTGAGTGGTCTCGCGAGAACAGGCTCCAACTAAACGCCGATAAGTACAAAGAACTCAGGATCTCCTTTGCTAAATAGCAAAGAGTCTTTGATCCCGTCATCATAGAAGGAAAGGAGGTAGAGTTAGTCACTAGTACAAAGCTACTAGGCCTTACAATGGCGAACGATCTAACATGGAACGACCATGTAACTGAGATAACCAATAAGGCGAGCAAGAGACTCTACTTCCTAACTCAGTTAAGAGAGCGGGAGTTCCGAAAAAAGATCTAGCACTGTTCTATGCATCGTGCGTGAGATCTGTTATTGATTATGCAGCACCTGTCATTTTTAACGGTCTCCCCCAGTAATTAAAGAAAGAGGTGGTATAGCTCGAGAAAAGAGCAATATCGATGATAACCTCGGGAAAGTGCAACTCAGCAATAGAGGTGGGGTTAACACCCATTTTGGAGCATTATTACGTACTATGTAGCAGGCTATTTGATAACATTGTCAGTGATCCAAACCATAAATTGAAGGCGCTTCTTCCACCAGACCATGGCAACTCACGCTATAACCTAAGAAGACAGGGCCTTTTTAATATGCCAAAGCTTTGCACGAACAGAACAAGTAATACGTTTATATATGCGATGTCGAAACAGTCCGGGCTGTTGTTTTATCCCACTTATATTCATGCTTTATATTTTAACATATTTATATGAATATGTTATATAAAATGTATTAATATTATCTTAAAAATCAGTTTTTGATTTATTATCTAGGATTCATTTGTAATTTTCAAGTATTGTAAAGTTTTTGTAAAAAATTGCGTAATTCAGCCTTTGGCTGCGATGCAGTGTTAATAAACTATCTATCTATCTGTCTATCCATGGGAAAACACGAAAAAGTGTGGAAGCAACGATTCATGAAATGATTGTTATTTAAAAGTAAGAAAACCATGTTCAGCCACCCTAAGCTTAAAATAACTGGGTCACCGTCATCACTCGTAAAATTTCACGAGCGTTGCATGATGTATGTGTAATCATTTATTATTAGGTCTCTAGAACCAATTTGAAGCAATGACTACTACACCAATATATACGAGAGAGAACCTTATTGACTAAAACGACCATTGTTTTACTTTCGTGGCCTTGCTATACAACGAGCACTAGAGGCCAGATGACCTATAGTTTCGTCTCGCAGCCATCACGGTGCTGTAACTTTCACCAACCCAACTTACAAATTAGTTCTAACGGCAACGTTCTTTTAATTATTTTCTTTTAGGACACCATTGGTTTTAACTTGGCTGGTCTGCGTTTCATTCAAAACGAGATGGAAGCTAGAGAAGAGACGTTTTTTGCAGACGCGACGGAAAAAGTGAAAAAGATTCGGAAGAAACAGAAATCGTCTTTCGTTCAAGTTGTGAAGTAGCTTATGTTGCCTTGCTCTTTAAATTCTTAAATGAACACTTTTGAAACGAGCTGGAACACAGACATCGTTAGGCCGTTTGAAATACTACTCGTAACGAAAATTGGTTATCCAAAAAGTAGGAACTGAAGACAGTACCTTGATAACGCACAGGAAAATGTATGGCAAAAACGCACAAGAGAAACGCACAGGAAAGGAACGCGACACTGTTGCGATTGGTTTTAGTCTTGCAAATGGTTTTAGAAAGGATGCACAAGTTTTTCAGACAAATCTCTGAGCGATGCTAAGAAAAAGCAATGCCAGCTGAGATAACTTTCGATTCTCTCTTGGAAGTTGTGCTCATGCTTTCTAAGAGGGTCAGTGCGGCGAATCCATGAAGCTTATTGCCAACCGTTGGGTGGAAAAATAAAATTCAAATTTCATTCTTGATTTTCGTTAACTTTTACACTCTGGATTGATTAAATTTCAAAAATCTGAATTCACCTCGGCTAATGAGATCATCTTTGTAGTCCGCTTAAAGGTTCCCACCCTGTATTTCCTCCCCTTCAAAACTTTTTCTTATTCCCCTTATGCAAAAACATAGTCAGTTAAAAGGAACAACATCAACTTTGCGGAGTGAAAATCCTTCAATAATTGCGCGCCAAAACGCGCCGATGTGAGCTTACCATCATGCCACATAAATAGTCATTTGACCACATCCCCTGACGAAGACCAGCTAAATAGTCGAATTTTGGCGATCTCGGTAAGAATTATGGTGACTTAAAAAGCGTGAGACAAAAGATTCAAATTTCATTTGTTTCATCGTAAATATGATGGATAAACACATCAATAACAGCAAGTCCCCTTCAATAACACAAATAGTTAAAAAAGTGGTTTGTTTTATTTGATCCCAGTGGAAACAGAGCAACTCAGTTCCTCGAATAATGCCTTTTGAAGAATATTATTTTTCATCCACTTTTTCAGACTTCATTTCCATCAGAATTTGAAAAGGTATTTCTACAATTACACAAATATTTGCACCTCAGTAGCTATTCACCAAGTTCAAAATCAGCCATCCGTTGGCTTTCCCATTTTGTTGCTTAATAGAACGACAGGGACCGAAGAGGAGCTTTTCGGTCGTCTTTCAAGGTGGGAAAACTCATTTGAATAACAAAAGCTTTTAGAAGTTAATATTCATATTTGCGATCAGTCTTACACGTGGAAAGAAAGTAAGAAGTTCAAGAAATTTCAGTGTCTTTTGCAGCTTCTCTAGAGCCACAAAGCACATCAATCCTACGTTATAGCCCTAGATATCCTCCGTTCTGTCCAGCGTGTGTTTCTTTGAAGTTGCTGAGTAGGGTGACTCAAATTTGACGCCGAAGATTGATGAGTGTCATTTTGTCACAATTTTTCTAAAGGTAAATAACCTACGAAAATACACATTTTATTGAAATACAATGCCCGTATCTCTCGCTTTTGCCCTCGAAGGTCAGGTCAAACTACAGAGTAAATACAAAAAGGAAATGCATGCATGCCAGGCACTGTACAGAGTAAGACAATCCCTCAACTGCAGCCGCCATGATAGCCGATTGCAACACGTGAGTACTGGCGACATTGATGAGTTCTTACTTTATAATTAGTTTACTGATAGCCGTAAGAAGTAATTTTTCGCTTTCCATTTCTATACTCATTTTTATTCTACATGCAGTCAGTTATGTAGACAGTCTATCACAATTAGAATGGTTGTGAATTTGTTGCTTGAGGCTTCTCTAACACCCAACCACCGATGCAAAGCAAAATGAGTGATCGAGAAAAACGTTTTGACGTAGAAATGTTTTAGGAAAAGAGAGAAATTAAGTCAACATTTTGATAAAGATGATGTGAATGGCATACATTCCTGTTTTATCTCGAGTTTAGTATAACATTAGATCTATAGCACGCAGCTGAAGACAGATTGAGGGGTACGGGTTCAAAGGTGTTAACATAGTTGGTAGAGGGGGACCCAGTCCCCTTCTACTAACTATGGTGTTAATGAGGAAGGGGGTGTAGCTTTGCCTGTTGACGGTTAATTTTTTTCAATTTTGACGGTTGATTTTTTTCAATTTTGACGGTTGAAGGTTAAATATTTAGGCCCTCAGACTATTGACGTTTGACGGTTATTAGGAAGATGTATTCTTATGAGTTGAAATTAATATCAAATTTTTCGTCATTTTGACGTGAATGATGCTGAACATCAAATTCTTTGTCATTTTGATAAGAATAATGAATGATCTTTAGATCTGTTCAGACGTTCGCTGACCAAATAAAGTGAAGCTGTTAAGAATGAGTTGTCAGTAATCGGATCCTCGTGTTCCCGCAAAGGTTTCTAGGATCGCCAGTAAGCAAACAAGCCCAACATCATGGCTGGTTCACAAAGAGATATGTTTGACGAAAGGTTGTTTTGACGTCCTAAAAAACGATTTGGGAGAAGGAACAACGCTTTTTTGTCACGATTTTTCAGAGAACGATTGAGGAAATGTTGATACGAAGAAAGTATAAATTTCTGTTTAATCTTAAAAAATGTAATAGAATCTACCAATAAACTTGTCTCGTTTCATTCGATTGTTACGTTAGTATCTTGCGAGTTTTGAGGCTTATTTTTCATTCGGTTCCTAAGTTAGTATTTGTCGCTCTTATAGGATTGCCTCATAATGCGATCTTTATGTTAGTATCTCGTTTAAGTTTGGGATTATCTCCATTTCGATTGTTACGTTGATATCTTGCGGGAGGTCGAGCGTTCGAGCCCCGGCCGGACCAACATTCAAGGTCTTAAAATAATTGAGAAGAATATGCTGCCTTTCTATAACATCAAGAAATGGTTTAGATATTCTAGTCTTCTCGGATAGGGACGAATAAATGGAGGTCCCGTCTCCTGCAGGGTTAGGGGTAGGAGACGTTAATTTCCCACGCACGAGATTACTGTGTGATGGAGGTCCTCCCCTGGGGTAGGATGGGTGGGTTGTTGTCTTGCGTTTCATACATGAGCCTCTGACTCGGGCAATATGGTTAACCATGCCCCACGTAAAGACATTAAACTTTGATTATTATAACTACTACTATCTTCCGCACTTTTAGGATTTTCTTTCATTCGAGTATTAAGTTAATATCTCGCGCACTTTTAGGATCATCTTTAGTTCGATTGTTACGTTACTATCTTGTACACTTTTAAGGATTTTCTTTCATTCGATTGTTAGAATTCTACGTACTTTTATGAATCTCTTGAATCAGATTGTTACGTTAGTTTCTCGTGCACTTTTAGGATCATCTTAAATTCGATTGTTACGTTACTATCTCGCAAACTTTAAAGAATTTTCTTTCATTCGATTGTTATGTTAGTATCTTGGGCACTTTCAGAACCATCCAACATTCGATTCTTATGTTAGTATATTGTGTACTTTAAGGATTATCTTTCATCGGATTGTTACGTTAATATCACGCGCACTTTTAGGGGTTCTCTTTTATCGGATTACATTCGATTGCTACATTCAACTGTTATGTTAGTATCTTGAACACTCTTAGGATAATCTTTTGTTGGATTTACTTGTTAGTATCTCGTGCACTATTATGATTCCATTCATTAGATTGTTACGTCAGTATCTCGTGCCTTTTAGGATTATCATACATTCGATTGTTAAGTTAGTATATTTCACACCTTCGTTCGGGATTATCTTACATTCAACTGTTAAGTAAATATCTTGAGCAGATTTAGGATTCTCTTTAATCGGATTGTTACGTTAGTATCTCGCCCACTTTCATGATTATGTCCCATACGATTGGCAAGTTAGCATATCTTGCACTCTAAGGATTGTCTTCTATATGATTGCTACGTTGGTATCTCGCGCTTTTAAGAATTTCTTTTAACGGATTGTTACGTTAGTAGATCTTGCTATCTTAGGATTCTCTTCCATTCGATTGTTATTACGTTATCTCCTGCACTTTTATGATTCTCTTTCAATGGATTGCTACATTTGTATCGTGCGGTCTTTACTGCTTCTCTCTCGTTCATAACGCATGGACCTGCTGCGCTCAGTCCATACGTCATGACCTCGGGAAAAACATTGTCCTGTCCAGTCCTCCAACTCAGCCAATAAAATACGTAATCTTGCGCACTCAGTTTAGGATTCTCTTTCGTCGGATTGTTACGTTAATATCTCGTACACCGTTAGGATTATCTTAAATTCGATTGTTACGTTATAATTCCGCACACTATTAGGATTGTCTTAAATTCGATTGTTCATATATCGCGCACTTTTAGGATTCTTTTTCATTTGATTGTTACGCGTTACGTTAGTGTCTTGTGCGCTTTAAGATTCTCTTTTATTGGATTTTAACGTTAGTATCTCGCCTACTTTTAGGATAAGTTATCGTTTATTGGTTTGTTACATTAATATCCGCGAAATTTTAGGATTCTTTTTCATCAGATAGTTACGTTAGTGTCTCGCATATTTTAAGGATTATGTTTCATTCCATTGTTACGTTAGTATTTCGCGCACTTCAAGGATTCTCTTTCATTGGATTGTTGCGTCAGTAACGTGCGCACTTTTAAGATTATCTCACATCCGATTGTTACGTTAGTATTTCGCGCAATTTTAGGGTTCTATTTCATCGCATTGTTATGTTAGTTTCTCACACATTTAAGATTAACTTTCATAGGATTGTTACGTCAGTATCGTGCACACTTTTAGGATTATCTTCCATCGGATTGTTACGTTATTATCTCACTTACGTCTACGATTATCTTACATCCGATTGTTACGTTTCTCTTTTCCGCATTTTTAGGATTATTTTTACATTCGATTGTTACGTTAGTATCTCGCGCACTTAGTAATTTTCTTTCATTCGGTTGTTGCTTTAGAATCTCGCGCACTTTAAGGATCATCTCATTTTCGTTTGTTATGTTAGTATCTTGCGCATTTTCAGGATAATCTTTCATTCGATTGTTAGATCAGCATCATACACACTTTTAGAATTATCTCTCATCGGATTATTACGTATGTATCTCGTGCACTTTCAGGATCATCTTTCATAGGTGTTTTACGTTAATATCTCGTGCTCTTTTAGGATTATCTAACATTCAACTATTACGTTAGTATCGCGCGCACTTTGTGAAGAAATCGAGCCTTCATTAAACTGAAACAAACTCAACTGAAATAATACAAAGATTGACGGAAATAGCCTAGATAAATGAACACTCGTGAAACCGCACACAGATTCATTTAATTTGATTAAGTTAGTGATTATCTGATTTTACCACACGGGTGTGGGTATGTGATGTAGGATATAGTGACACTTGAGAGTTTTACAGACCAGAACCTTGACGGTAGTCTTGAATACGGACAGCCGCGTTTTACAGGGAGAACAGCGAGTTTCGAGATTTAGAGCCTTACGGAATATCGAGCAGAAGGATTCAG